TTATAAAAAGAGAAAAATATAATTTGAAATGAAAAATTAATTTTATATTGTCAAGTGTCAAATATTTTATTGAATAGAAAATCTGATTATATTAATTTTTATGTAAATAGTCATGATGAAATGACAGAAACTTGTGAAATAAAATATTTCTATATATTATTCTGTACAATTTACAATAGTTATATAGTTATACAAAGACACAAATAAATTCTAAATTAGAAATTAAATCATTCTAGGTCTTGACAAATTAACTCTAATTCATTGGCACAATCTGTCACAATGAATGCTAACCAGACAGCTTATACCAACTAATAATACTACAACTCATTACTCTCCCTCAAGTTGGAGATTAAGGACGATGAGATCCCAACTTGCTTGATAGTTCTCGAAATTGTTTTGTTCCCAAAGACTTTGTGAAAATGTCTGCTTGTTGTGACTTGGTTGGTATGTGGGCAGTAGCTATAATACCCTTGACAAGAAATTCTCGAATGAAGTGACAATCGACTTCAATGTGTTTCGTTCTTTCGTGGAAAACCGGATTTGAAGCTAAATGAATAGCAGCACGATTGTCGCAATGTAGAACTGTAGGAGAATCACATTTTACTTGTAAATGTGTAAGTAGTCTTCTTAACCATATAACTTCACTTGTGGCATAAACCATTGCTCTATACTCTGCTTCACTCGAGGACCTTGATACAGTAGTTTGTTTCTTGGTTTTCCATGAAATGGGAGTTGTTCCTAACTTCATGACATAACTTGATATTGATCTTCTGGTTAGTGGACATGACGCATAGTCTGAATCACAATATGCAACCAGTCGGAGGTCATTATCTCTTGGTACGACAATTCCTTGCCCCGGTGAAGACTTCAAGTACCTCAAAACATGCATGGTTGCATCCCAGTGCCCTTGGTGAGGTTCCTGCATAAATTGACTTAGAATATGGACAGAATATGTTAATTTCGGTCTAGTGATTGTGAGATAAATGAGTCGTCCCACCAACCTACGGTACTGTGAAGGATTCTCATATAAAGGGCTGGAATCCAATGCTAATTTATGGTTTGGTTCAAGTGGGATAGATGAAGGCTTGCAAGCTAGCATCCCACATTCATTTAGAATGTCCAAGGCATACTTCCTTTGACAAATGAATAATCCAGAAGAGCCGCGAGCTAACTCTAGACCAAGGAAGTATCTCAACTCTCCCAAGTCCTTCATGTGAAAACATTCGCTCAGGTACTGTTTGAATTTTTCACATGACTTTGTATCATTCCCAGTCACAACAAGGTCATCAACATAAACTAATACAGCTATGAAAACTAAACCATGTGAATAGGTAAACAAACTATGATCAGCTTCACATTCCTGAAAACCATACTTGACCAATGCTTGGGACAGTTTTTTTTGAGTACCAATTGCGTGAGGCTTGTCTAAGACCATATAGTGACTTTCTTAGGCGACACACCATCTCTTCATCGAAAACTTTGTAACCTGGCGGAACCTCCATATATACTTCCTCATCTAATTCTCCGTGTAGGAAAGCATTACTCACATCCATCTGGTAAAGTATCCATCCTTTAGCCACCGCAACAGTAAGCAAACACCTCACAGTTGTCATTTTGGCAACTGGTGCAAAGGTTTCGTTGAAGTCATCCCCTTCAACTTGTGTGTAACCTTTTGCCACGATCCGCGCTTTGTATTTCTCAACTTCACCGTTCGATTTGTATTTAACCTTGTATACCCATCTACAACCCATTGCCTTCTTGCCTTTAGAAAGCCTTGATATTTCCCATGTTTGATTTTCTTCCAAGGCTTTAAGTTCTTGTGACATGGCTTCTCTCCATTCTTGTTTGTGAATGGCTTGTTTGTATGACTGAGGCTCTTCAATGCTTTCAACCGCTGCAAGATAAGCTTGATGTTTTTGTGAAAACTCATCATAATTTACATAGTTTGATATAGGATAAATTATACCTGAAGAAGTTGATGTCTTCGGCGATGTACATGTGTGGGTTTTCTCAGCTGAGTAGCAATAATAATCATCAAGTCTTTTGGGTGGTTGTTTGTTCCTTTTCCCCATGTCTATGTTTGTCATGGTTTCACTCTCTCCCTCATTTTGAGGTTCTTCTACTTCAGTGATCACAACAGGATTTGTTTCAACAACTTGTCCTTCTCTTGGTTCTTTGGAAATTATGGTCTGGTCTTGTTGCCCATCATTGCAAGACGTAGTATCTTCGTCAACAAAACCAAAATCAAGAGTAAATGTTGGCGAAGGATTTTCTTCACTGCTGATGTCCTTTTCTTGTGACGCATACGGAAAAATATCTTCATAGAATACCACATCTCTTTATACATATATCTCCCGTGTCTTTAGGTTGTACACTGTCCAACCTTTTTGGCCTTTAGGATACCCCACGAATACACATTTTTCGGCTCTTTAATCAAATTTATCTGGCTGTTTATTTGAATTTTAACATAACATAAGCATCTGAAAGTCTTAATGTGCTCATATGATGAAGGTTTTCCCAATAGCTTCTCATATGGTGTCAAACCATCATTAACCATGGTAGGGGTTCTATTAATGAGGTATGTTGCTGTCAAGACACACTCCCCCCAAAGCGATATGGGTAAGTTAGCTTGAAATCTCAAGGCTCGTGCCACATTGAGTATATGTCTATGTTTTCTCTCTACCCTTGCATTTTGTTGGGGTGTTCCCACACATGAAGTTTCATGTAGGATTCCCTCTTGTTGTAGGATTCCTTGAAACGCATGGTTGGTAAATTTTGTCCCATTGTCACTCCGCAACCTCTTGATCTTTACATTGAGTTGTGTGTTAACCATGTTGATAAAATTTGTTAAAAGTTTTAGAACTTCTGTTTTTTCTTTTAACAGGTAAACCCATGTTCCACGCGAATAATCATCAACGATCGTAAGAAAATAGTGACATCCACTATGAGAGCTAGTACGATATCTTCCCCACATATCACAATGTATAAGATCAAAAGGATTCTCAGCTTTATTATAGCTATTATGAAAGGGAAGTCTGCATTGCTTTGATCTATGACATATGTCACAACAATGAAGTTTATTTGAACATAAATTAAAATTCACTAGCTGAGACATGTGTTGCATAACTTGAGGAGAGGGATGTCCCATGCATGCATGCCAGAGAACGGTGTTGTCTTCATGATGTGCCGTGAAAGCAGATCCCTGGACTTGTTGCTTCAACACATAAACCCCACCATGTACATCACCTAAGCCAATCTTCTTCTTCGTGGCAAAGTCATGTATCATACAATAACTAGGATGATAAGTCACAAAGCAATTTAAATCACGGGTCAACTGACAGATTGAAATTAAATTGCAATCAAACTTAGGAATAAGTAAAACATTTTGTAAAGTAATGTTTTTGCTAAGATCAATGGTCCCCATCATTTCTACCAGCACTGTGTTCTCTGTAGGAATAGTGACATAGAAAGGTTTCTCAATCTTGGTTACCCCTCTTATTAAGGATAAGAGAGGGGTCATGTGGTGTGATGCACCACTGTCCAAGACCCATTTTAGATCTTTACAAGATGTATTTTTTACCGGATTCACAAAAATTATGCTTCATCACACGAGAACCGTGGAATGCACGCCCCTGTACCGCTTCTTTAGTCGATTGTGTATGGTGAGCACTAGATTGTCCTCCATCATCTCTTGAGCGGTGTTGTGTCCTTCGTGTGTGCCAATACTCTGGGTACCCTATAATCTCAAAACATCTTGCTTTAAAGTGGCCAGTCTTGCCGCAGTGATCGCACTTTGAGTTTGAACCATCTTTTCTCCTTTGTCCACTTTGTTTAGATGAATAAAAGGCAGATCCTCCCAATTCTCTTTTAGTTGCAGCAATCCTTCCTTTTTCACCGATGATTCGAGCTTCTTCTCTGAGAACATGGTTGAAAACGCGTCGAAGAGAAGGCAAAGGTTCGGTGTTCAGCATTGTCTCCTTAACATGTTCAAATCGCTCATTGTTAAGACTTCCGAGAAATAGGTGTACTTGCTGATCTCCTTCTCTTTGCAAAATTTCTTTAGATGCACCACATGTGCATTCTGGAAGTGGTTGCAGTTCTCCTAGTTCATCAAGGAGACTCTTAAATTTGGTATAATATTCTGTCACAATCATGTCCGATTCATGCTCCGTCAGACATAACGTGCGCTACAATTGATGGATCCTAGGAGCATTTGTTTGAGCAAAACGCTCCTCCAAATCTTCCCAAATATCTTTCGCAGTTGATGCGTGCAAGATGCTGCTGTGCAAAACTGGATCTACAGCATTAATAATCCATGCCATGGCCATTGAATCAGCCTTTTCCCAATTGTAAAAGTCTGGACTGGTTTTTGCAGGTTTCTTGATTGATCCATCAATGAAACCTAACTTGCTTTTCGCCCGTAATGCCGTCCTCATGGAGCGTGCCCAATTGCGGTGGTTCTCACCTTTGAGTGTTGTAGCTACGAGCGGTGTTCCTGGATTATCAGATGGACCAAGGTAATATGGGGATGTGTTTGTGACAGTGGAAGTCAATTTTGTATTGCTGGAGGTATTATTCTTCTCCACACTTTCATTCTCTGAATCAGAACTCTGCTCTGATACCATGATGAAATGACAGAAACTTGTGAAATAAAATGTTTTTATATATTATTCTGTACAATTTACAATAGTTATATAGATATACAAAGAGACAAATAAATTCTAAATTAGGAATTAAATCATTCTAGGTCTTGACAAATTAACCCTAGTTCATTGGCACAATCTGTCACAATAAATGCTAACCAGACAGCTTATACCAACTAATAATACTACAGTTCATTAAGTCATACTCTCTTTTTGTAATGCAATTAATTAAAAAATAATAATATTATAGTTTAATAGCATGTTATATTAATAGTTATATAGTTGATGACCCAACAACTCATCCACCAACCAGTATGAGGATACAATTCCATCAACAATTTATCTTTTTCTTTAGACATGGCATCGTCAACCCCTCAAGTCATAACCTGCAAAGGTGAATTTGAGTTCACTTTACCATGTCCTTTTTGTTATGATATCTATCTATGTATGACCTATATATGTCCATTGTTTATGAATCAAACAGCTGCAGTGGCATGGGCAGCGGGAGCGCCATTGGTACTGGAGGATGTAGAAGTCAGTCCTCCCCAACCATTCGAGATTAGGATTAAGGTTGTCTCCACCTCTCTATGTCGCAGTGATCTCTCTGCTTGGGAATCTCATGTAAGTTTTTCTTTTTATTTTCTTTTTCAATTTTATCATTTTTAATATCATTAATTTCTGTAAACATTGACCTTTCCTTGAGAGATGTAATTGAATAACGTTTTTTTTCCATCTATGAGCCAATGTATATAAGTACCAATCAAGATTTTGTTTGACTAGATTAATGATTAACTATGTCTATGTCAGTTCCATTTTTTCAAATTAATATCAGTCTTGACTTTTCAATCTTACTACTGGTTGTGTTGTGTCTCGTTCTTCATAGATGATGAATTACCATTCTATTTAGAAATCCTAAACATTGCATTGCATTCCTCAAGAGTATGCCGGCTGATGAATATGGAACTCAATAATTAACATCTGACATAAAGTGTTTTCCTAAATGCAGGCTATATTTCCCCATGAAGCATCTGGGTAATCTACACTTCATGTTCTATTTTTGATTTAATTTGACAATGACTCATTACTGATAGTGATCCTTTTTGTTATTTTACTAGAGGAGGATCTTAGAAACAATTTTCCTTTTTTAGAGTTTCACAGTTGATTAATTAGAGTCATTGGATCAAGATTGGACAACACACATTTGGATTTTTTAATAGCTTTTGAAATCCAATTTACCGAGTTTAAAATAAGAATCATATGTTTTTCATCCAAGGATTGCAACTTAATATCTATGGTGAACGCGTGATACTAATCCAGGTCCATAAAAAAATATAACGGTGCAGCAGCACAACAGAATATTATTACTGATGTTAGACTGCATTGTGTATGTGTTGGATTTAAGGATAATTGTAGCTTAGTTCTAAATTGTGGTCTACAATCGCAATTGCAGCCTCATCGTCTGGATTTGTTCGCATTATTTTACTGTAATACCAAAGTTTAGAACATACCATGACTGTAGCATCATGGACACAGTGTAATGGTTTTGCAGGGTTGTAGAAAGTGTAGGGCTAGGAGTGACTGAATTCAAAGAAGGGGACCATGTGCTAACAGTTTTCATTGGAGAATGCATGTCATGCAAGCCGTGCAAATCAGGAAAAACTAATATTTGTCAAGTTTTGGGATTGGAAAGGAAGGGTTTAATGCATAGTGATCAAAAGACTAGATTCTCAATAAAAGGGAAGCCTGTTTATCATTATTGCGGTGTTTCAAGTTTTAGCGAATACACAGTTGTCCATTCTGGATGTGCAGTGAAAGTTAGTCCTCATGTACCTCTCGACAAAATATGCCTTCTAAGCTGTGGCGTCTCTGCAGGTAAAGTTCATAGAGAGCATTGAAACTCTACTGCCATTAATGAGTTCTTTTTTTGTTGTGTTATTGATTATTTGACAATTTTGCATTAGGTCTGGGTGCAGCATGGAATGTTGCCGATGTGACAAAAGGATCAACAGTCGTTATATTTGGTCTTGGAACTGTTGGCCTTTCTGTAAGTTCAAGCACTCAACAACTATATATGAACTCTCTTCGTGTTCTCGGGGTCTTATAATCTTCTTAACAGATGAATGATATGATATTTTGTAAATCATAACTTTCATGTTCAATAGGTTGCTCAAGGTGCTAAACTAAGAGGTGCATCTAGAATAATTGGTGTCGATAACAATACACAGAAGTGCGAAAATGGTAACATAATTTGTTCTCCGAATTTATTTTTAAACCTTAAAACCTGTCATAAATCATAACCTCTTGGTTTACTATCTGTTTTCTTGTTGATTTGCCACCACAGCTAAATCTTTTGGGGTTACGGAAGTTGTTGATCTGAATTCGTACAATGAACCTATTGCACAGGTGGATCCATCATCTCATTACAAAATATCCAATTTAAAACCTTTTCAAATAATCTTATAAATGACGGTCACACTAATTTTTGTGTTGAAAATTTCAGGTTATTAAGCGCATTACTGATGGTGGAGCCGATTTCTGTTTTGAATGCGTCGGTGACACTGATATGATAACAACTGCATTGCAATCATGTTGTGATGTAATACTCTATATTCTTCAACTCACATAGAAGCTGCTTATACATAAACACTTGCGTGATATAAGTGCTTAATTAAGTTATTTATCTAAACAACGAGCCTGACTTGAATTTGATTCTATCTTTGGATATTTGTTATAGGGATGGGGTTTGACTGTAACACTTGGTGTGCCGAAGGTGAAGCCTGAGATGTCAGCTCATTACGGACTATTCTTGACAGGAAGAACATTGAAAGGATCGCTATTTGGAGGATGGAAACCTAAAACTGATCTTCCTTCACTAGTAGAAAAATATGTGAACAAGGTAAAACAAGTTTTATCATAAATGTTATGATAAAAATATGTGCTAATGTTATGTATGATAAATAAATATGCAGGAAATTGAGATTGATGACTACATAACACACAATTTGGCATTTGATGACATTAACAAAGCTTTCAATCTCATGAAACAAGGAAACTGTCTTCGTTGTGTTATCCACATGCCAAAGTAATTTCTTTGGCTTCTTGATTCTTTCATGAAACTATTATCCTAGAGTGTGTAGAAGATTAACTACTTTGCCTGTTTATCAATGTACATGGAGAGAGTTGTCGATTGTAAGGGACAATATTGATCATTTTCTTTTACCAAGTGACATGATTTTCTCTATAAATAAAGAAAATTTGATGGTGGAATAGAACACAAAATTCATGCTTTAATGAGACAAATTTCTATCAGTTACATATTTTGCTTTGCATCTAATTTGTAATTTATACAAACTGGAGGAAGTGAATGAAATTAAATCTAGTGATCTCTTTGTAATTTATTTCTGTAAATATGACTACAACAATATCTTTTAAGTTCACTCCTAATAGAGATATTTGTAGGGAAAATATAAGTTAGAGCTGTGTATTCCTCAACAATAATAAGAAAGAAATAAAAGGAAATAAATAGTAAATAGAAGAAAAGGTATTTAGTACTTAAGCATATGGGTGTTTTCAGTGTGGTTTGAGCGGTTTTGACGTAAAAAATCACCTGAATTGTAAGAGAAAAAAGTATGTGGTTTGATTTGGTTTAGTTCGATTGACTTTTAAAAATAAAATCGAATCAACCCAAACCAAACCAATACGGTTTAGTTTGGTTCACTTTTTTTCAATATATATATATATATATATATATATATATATATATATATATATATATATATATATATATATATATATATATATATATATATATATATATATATATATATATATATATATATATATGACAATTTAATTTTGTATTTAATCATTCATACACTATCAAATAACAATAAAATTCATTATATTTAGACCCCAACTTCCCATTTAATATGTAAAAAACATAATAGACAAAAGTGTAATAATAAAAATAAAACAATAGAATAAAAAATATCAAAAATATTATAATGAAATAAAAAATAAAGGAGATGAGAGACTAATGAAGATGAAAAAAAAAAAGAACAAAAGAGAAGAGATATTAGAGAAAAATAGGTGAGATAATAAGAATTTTTTTTTGCAATAACCAGGTATTAAATTTTTTTTTCACAAATAACCATGTTTCGGAAAAAATTACGCAAATAACCATGTTTCAGATGACACCCATTATTTAAGGGGAGGCGCCATCTCACTTGGCGCCTAGGTGCTTAGGGCTTGCCCTAAGCCAAGTGAGATGGCGCTTTAATGCATTTCTAGAGCAAATTTCGCGTTTTTTTCCAATCCGGTGTGTTGCGTATTCGATATAGGATCAACAAAATTGACTTTTTATTTACAAAAAATGATTACACCCATAAGTATTACATAAAAAAATACAGATTAAAAAAAACAGATTAATCATTGGTCTCCCAGAACCCAGTAATGAACCCCGGTTCCGCATCCCCGTCCTCGTCTTTCCCGTGCTGGGTGTCGTCGCGTTTCCTGTTGTGGCAGGGTCGATGGCCCAGCAAAGTCAATGCGTTTTCGGATCCATGAAATCAGTCAGATCTCCATATTTAGAAGATCTAGTTTGGTATAGTCGGTTACCCATACCCTCAAAGTTTGGTCGTGTTGGCGGTGGGTGGGGTTCCATGGTGGGTCTGTAGCATTGATCGTCTGAGTACGGGGGGTAGAAAGGAAATAGATCTTGGGGAGTTTGGTATTGAGGATGTTGGGTGGTTTGGTGATACTGTGGTTGATAGTAAGTTGGGTCGGTTGGTTCATAATCTTCTGACATTCCCAGATCAGGGCTAAGGCTGGATGTTGAGGGGCCCATATTGGGATATACAGAAGACTGAAATTGTGTGTGGGGTATGCGGTTGTGTTGGTATTGTGATTGGAATTGCGATTGGGTGTGAGACATATGGGGGTATTGGTACTGAGGTGGTGATTGTGGTTGGTTGTGGGGCATTTGGGTGTAATTGTGTTGTGGTGGCGACTGTGGTTGGGTGTTTGTGGTTCTGTTTCGTCTGGGGGGTTGGTGGGAGGTTGATGTGTGTTGGGTTTGTTGTTGGGGAAACGAGGGTTGTGCCCATTGTGTTCGTGGGTCAACCAAATACCTTGGATGAGACACGTGCATTTCAGGGTTACTAACTGACCTCTACCAAGATAAATATTGATCCGTGTGTCGCATATTACCATGATTGAGGAAAACTGGGAATTGCAAGACATGTCGGTGACGCCTTTGCCACATCTTACACCATTCTGGAGCAAAGTCTTTCCAGTTGGTAAGACCCCACTGGGCGTCGACCCTTTTGAGATGCCACAGGGACAAACAAGTCGAATCACTGGGTATCTCTTGATGCATTCCGAACTGCATCTTCACACGGTCGTTGCGGTGCATCTCCACAACATTGAACTGTATGATTGCAGTCTTGACGTTCCAAATTGTTGCATCCTCGGGGTTTGGTTCATGACCCAAACCCAAATATGGTCTCCAGAAAAACTGCACATAAAATTAAATTAGGTTAATGAAAGCGTAATACATAAATAATTTAAAAGTAGAAAAGTTGAAAGGTACGACGTACATCATCCGGGCCTAGGTGATCCAATAGATTGCGGTATAGTGCGACATTGAATCTTGGATTCTTGCCGTAATACATACCCCTCACGCAATACCTAAAGGAAATAGAAAATATTTTATTTTTAACATATATTTGGTGAAGAGATGAACAATATTAAATGATCTAACCAGATGACTTACTTTGTTGCGTACGGGAAAACGAATGTGTTATTGTTGACGGGGTTTAGGGACTCCATCCTCCACCAACCCCAGGCTTGAAGTAAAAAAGTGCAGCCATAAAATGTACATTTTTCCTTGATTGCATTTTTGCACAAGGAACTGTATAGGTGGGCTAAAACAGCAGAACCCCAACTATACTTTCTAGTTTTTTCGAAATCTCTAAGTAAATTTAAATACATAAAATTTACACTATTTCCCGTACTTTCAGGAAATAAAAAGGTTCCAAATAGTATCATTAGATAAGTTCTAGCTTTTATTACCCTATCTTGCTCGGAGGAATTTTCGTTTAATTCCAAAGTTGCATAATAATTTTTAAGCTCAGTTAGTAGTATACCCTGACCTCTCGCACCACCACCTTCAACCATATCCCTGCCTAACAATTCTTCACACAGAGAATTGGGTTGTTGAACCGACCCGTTAACGGCCTTACCGTCAACAGGGAGACCCAGTAACATGTACACATCCTCTAGCGTGACGGTATATTCACCTATTGGTAGGTGAAATGTATGGGTCTCTGGTCTTCACCTTTCCAACATGGCAAGTATGAACTTTGAATCTATTGTGCAGTTGGAGATCTTTATAACATGTCTGAAACTTGCGTATTCCAGATATGGTACGTTAAATGGGTCGGGAGCCAGGTAGTTATGAGACCGGATTCTGAATCTTTTGGTATCCTGAGTTAATAATGTAAAGGTGTAAGATTAAGTAAGATGAACAAAGCATAAGCAGAAGTATAAAAAATGTATAACTATAAAAGAAACTTACAAATGCTGCAATGTTGTCCCTTGTGCCTCTGTGAGAATCCCCCATTGTGAGAAGAGCCATTGTTGAAAATGCTTGAGAATATGAAATACTTAGAAATTGTAAGAGATTGTGAAAGACTTGGTAGTAGAGAGTGAGACGGTTGTGGGTGCGAGAGAAGTATGTTATGCTCTGTATTTATAGGCAAAAAAATTTCATAGAGTAAGTTAGGTGATAGCTGGTGCATGCATGCATGATAAGTGTCACTCTTGCAGTGAAGGCACATGCTAGGTGGAAGCCTTGGAGAAGGCATCTCTACATGCATGTAACACGATTGGATATTAAGGGAGGCGTCATTGGACTTGGAGAAAGAGTACAAAAATGAAAGGTGTCGCCATCCCCATTGGCGAATAAGAGGTGGCACAGGTTGCATAGTAGGCCCAGGCTAGGTGACAGCCTTGGAGAAGCCATGCCTGAATGCATGTAACACTATTGGAGGTGATGGGAGGAGACTTACATGTTACAGTGTAGGTGCAGAGTAGGCGCAGACTAGGTGGCATCCTTGGAGAAGGCATCTCTGCATGCATGTAACATGATTGGACATTAAGGGAAGCGCCATTGGACTTGGCAAAAGAGTACAAAAATGAAAGGTGTCGCCATCCCCATTGGAGAATAAGAGGTGGCACGAGTTACAGAGTAGGCCCAGGCTAGGTGACAGCCTTGGAGAAGTCATGCCTGAATTCATGTAACACTATTGGAGGTGATGGAAAGAGACTTACATGTTACAGTGTAGGTGTAGAGTAGGCGCGGGCTAGGTGGAAGCCTTGGAGAAGGCATCTCTGCATGCATGTAACACGATTGGACATTAAGGGAGGCGCCATTGGACTTGGCGAAAGAGTACAAAAATGAAAGGTGTCGCCATCCTCATTGGCGAATAAGAGGTGGCACGGATTGCAGAGTAGGCCCAGGCTAGGTGACAGCATTGGAGAAGCCATGCCTGAATTCATGTAACACTATTGGAGGTGATGGGAGGAGACTTACATGTTACAGTGTAGGTGCAGAGTAGGCGCAGACTAGGTGGCAGCCTTGGAGAAGGCATCTCTACATGCATGTAACACGATTAGACATTAAGGGAGGCGCCATTGGACTTGGCGAAAGAGTACAAAAATGAAAGGTGTCGCCATACCCATTGGCGAATAAGAGGCAGCACGGGTTGTAGAGTAGGCCCAGGCTAGGTGACAGCCTTGGAGAAGCCATGCCTGAATGCATGTAACACTATTGGAGGTGATGGGAGGAGACTTACATGTTACAGTGTAGGTGCAGAGTAGGCGCAGGCTAGGTGGCAGCCTTGGAGAAGGCATCTCTGCATGCATGTAACACGATTGGACATTAAGGGAGGCGCCATTGGACTTGGCGAAAGAGTACAAAAATGAAAGGTGTCGCCATCCCCATTGACGAATAAAAGGTGGCACGAGTTGCAGAGTAGGCCCAGGCTAGGTGACAGTCTTGGAGAAGCCATTCTTGAATGCATGT